CCCCCCCCCCCCCGTACGTATTTTGTCCCTTGTAACTCGGTCACCTGATACATTTGGTTATGCGCTCAATTGCGCCACTTGAATTAAAGCTAGCGCCATTACGGTTAAGCCGTGACAAATTTTCAAAAAGTGGGGGGGGCCAACTTAACGTTTTTAAAAGTTACTTTTTTTTAACATCTTTTCATACGAAATTGTACTCTCAGGTATGCGCTGAAATGCGCCGTAAAAAGATATCTTTGCGCCATTATTGGTTTTTGGTTATCCTTAAATATATTTGGGGGGGCCAAGTGAACGGAATCCCCCATAACGCATTTTGCTACCGGTATTTGTGCCACTTGATACATCTGGTTATGAGCTCAATTGCGCCACTTGAATTAAAGCTAGCGCCATTACGGTTAAGCCGTGACAAATTTTCAAAAAGTGGAGGGTCTAACTTATAAAGCTAGCGCCATTACGGTTAAACCATAAAAAAATTTTTAAAAAAGTGGAGGGTCTAACTTAGCGTTTTCAAAAGTTATTTCCGGAAGTGCGTCCATTTTGAAAATATTTTACATCGATTCGGCCTTCGGAGTAATTCCTAAATACAAATTTTTAAAAACCTACCTATTTTATTTTCTCAGAATCGTTTAACTAAAGCTCCCAAAAAAACACCTTGTATAGTGTTTCTGAAACACTATAATGGCGCCAAGATTTTTGTTTACGGCGCATTTTAGCGCATGATGAAAGGTACGATGTAGTAGGAAAACATGTTAAAAAACGTAACTTTTGAAAACGTTAAGTTAGCCCCCCCCTCTACTTTTTAAAACTTTTTTATGGCTTAACCGTAATGACGCTAGCTTTAATTCAAGTGGCGCAATTGAGCGCATAACCAAATGTATCAGGTGACCTAGTTACAAGGGGCAAAATACGTACGGGGGGGGGGGCTACGTTCACTTGCCCCCCCCCCCCATGTTTTTTCAGATTTCTAAAAAACGATAATGGCGCAAGAGTTATTCTCGGCGGCGCATATGAGCGCATAACGAGCGCATTCATTTCAAAATAATACGACTATGAAATCTCTCAGTGGGGGGGCCAAGTTAACGGACCCTTGAAATGAATCTAATCCTTGCAGGGAGTTTTGGTGAACACCATTCGGGGGATGAGCGGAGCGTTGGTTTTAGTTCTCTATGACGAAATTATGCATCGTGTTGATTGGAAGAAGTGGCTCAGTTGATAAATTGAGACAAACACGTTACTCAGCGTTTAAATATCGCATACATTGATCGTACAGTACTAATATCATTGATCCACTAATGCTTCTAAGGTAATTAACTGTAGTTCCCTGAAATAACTAATTAAACGATTACATTATCTACCTTGTTCACCTTATAAAATCCGGCAACTCCCCTCTCTCGATACACTAAGTTGACGACACCCCTCACCGTATCCAGCTTCTTCTCATTCTTCGGTTTTCCAACATCCATCATCAAGATGCGTCCAATGGTATCGAGGGGATAGCTGATCATACCCGATGTGATTGTTATTACCTGCAAAACTGTCTACTAATTGCCAATTCCGAGGGTGCAGCTACAACCTGGGCAGCTATCAGCTGTACCATCAACGATAACTCGGCGCCCTTGTTAATCTCCTTCCAGTAACCGTGCATGCCAAAGTAGAACGATCGGTAAAGTGCCACCCCCGTCACGGCTACGAAATATCCTCGGTACAGAACGTGAAATCCTTCCGTCTTGGTTACCTTCGAAATGCAATCGGACACCCCGCGAAACTCTCTCTCGACAAAGTCGGTCCGCTTGGCGCGATCCTTCGCATCTAAATCACTGTGACAGGTATCGCCTGACGCGAGTTCGGCTTACCATTTCCAACGTCGGCCGATATTCGAGTTTGGCAAAACTCGAGGGGATAGAGAAGTGTAACTGTGGTAACACCGGCAAGGGCGCCCGAGGCGAAGTGCGCCAAAGGGCCCGCGCCGAACGCGGCGTTAATTCTCTCCTTGTACCAAGTATTGAAGGAAAAGTTCAAGGCCTGCGAGGGGAAGTATCGTACGGTATTCACAATGTTTCCCCTCCACAGGCTCGTAAACCCCTAAACGCGCTGGATGTCAGTTTGGAAAGTACACGAGCAAACGTCTGACCTGTTCCTTTGGAATTCTTCGAAAGCAATCGATGACGCCAGTGTACCGTTTTCGTTTACCTTCGCCGAATTGGGCCGCGACGTCTTGCGTTTGCAGAATCACCTTTACGCGGTCCAGAGGTGACGTGAGCGATTTCACTAAGGCGCCCGACAGACCTCCGACCATGAAGCTAATCGCGAAGGTTCTAAGCTCATTGCTGTTGGACATTGAGATTTGGACATGGCAGTTTTGAAATTTTTGCCCGAAGTCTGAATGCAAACTGTCACTCGTGACATTCTTTACTGTCATGTAGAAAACAAATTGATTCGACTAATTGGACTTTATGTACTTCAAGATCCAAACAAAGCGCGGAAGATCGTAACAGTTTCCAGGTCCCTTAAAAAAAGGTAACTCCACAATAGGGAATTGTACCAGAAAACCTATTATAGGGTGAGCATTAAATACTCTGAGAAGACAAGCGTCTCGTAGTGCCTTTGCCATAATTATTCCCAAGATTCTGCGAGATGGCACGAAATTTTGACTTCGTGCAGTGTGACGCAAGGGCCCAAAAAAATGAACATAACTGGAGACTTGAATTCTTTATAGAAAATGGTCATATTTTCTGTAACCTACACATGATTGACAACGCTTCAAGGGTACACTAGCAACCTTATGTACCTGGACATAAAATTTAACCATTTTGAGCCTAAATTCTTTCGACAATATTTTGCAGCACCCCCTTATTTCACTCGCGGTGCAGTAACTTAATACGAAAGTTTTTTTTCATTCGTAATAACGGACACGCGACACGTCCTAGATCTAACCTCGGCTGTTTTTCGAAGTCTAATTAGAGTAGGCATCAACCCCAGTCGCCCAAGATACCGGAAGGGAACGTGCAGTGCTCTCCCATCGACCCCAAAATCCATCGGTTCGGCAGATGAAAACTAGTGGGGCACTTGTAAAACGAAATCCGAAACATCGTTGGCAGCAAAGAATGTGCGGTTAGAAAAAGCACGAAAGCATAAGGCCAACTATCGACTAATCTCCCCCTTATCAATCGAGCGTCCTGGTGCTGAGCTAGCAATTGTAACCCCATAGCACTAATTAAGAAGAATAAAAATGATTTAAATCTCCAGACCTCGGTTCGAGAGGTTTTCGAAACGCATTCAGAAACGACGCAAGAAAAATCGCACCACATTTGCACCGCGGTTGACAAATTGATTCTTTGAATTTCCACCAAGAATGTCATTTTGTTCGGAAAACCAATTAAGCTCGCTAAATTTGTTTACGCTGTGAGTGTGAGATACCTAAATTATTCGCGATGATCGCGGATAAGCAGTTTACAACCCTTGAGCGACTGAAGGCTGCCCACCCACCCTTTATGACAGTAGGGGGGCGTTAGTAATGAAGGGCGAGTTTACAGTAGATCTATCGCATGACCAACAATTAGCGGCCATTGAAGTAGATACTTCCCTTGTTAAATACTCTCCAAAACAAAATTATTAATTTTTTTAGGGCAAATACTTTTTTTTAAACAACAGGGGTTGATTTTTAAGGGTTAAACTACTTTGTTTCAAAGCTACTAACACTCATCTCAGCTCATATGCACTAGATGTTACTCAGTTTTAATATACAAGGTGTTTCATAATTGAATGTCAATATTTAAGGGGGCATTTTGGCAGACATTGATGGTACGCCACTGATTTATCAGAAAATAAGCATTATTCTTGAAATCCCCAATCATTTCTAAGCAAATTTGATCCGTTTGTTTTTTCCAATCCGCTCCACAGTTTTCGCTTAAAAAAATAAAAACCGTTTCTCTGCATGATCATGACAATATCGTTAATATGACAATACGAAATTTCGTACGAACGCCACTGGTGGAATTTAAAAAAATAACAAGTATAAATTGTGCACAACTCTTTCATTAGAATACCATGAAGGGTAGAACATGTCCCCCCCCCCCCCCAATTTTCTAAAGTTTAACTTGGCACCACTAAAGGCATGCGTATGCACAATCTGAGACCAATTGGTTGTCGTATGTAAAAGTTATGCACGTTTTACTCTCACACAGCATCTCAGGAAATAATTCCTGGGGGCGGGGGGCGAAATTTGATGAGTGTCTGGCAGACCTTCAAGGTATAGGCTACCTACTGCAAAAAGTTCCAGGACCCTAGGACCATTCCCCTAGAAGTAGTTCGAAACGGCAGAAGTGGGTCCGGACGGACGGACGGTTTTTTTGAATTCTTAAAAAATGCGCTAAAAATGTGGTACGTTAAAAAATGCCTCGGGAGACATAGTACATACATACCAAATTTCATTAAAATATCTAAAGTGGTATTACAGATATTAATAATAAATGATTTATTTTTGAAAATTTTAAGTACCACCCTGTATCTATATGAAGATTTCTGTTTTAAAATGAACCCAAAAATCGCCCCCCTTAAATATTGACATTCAATTATGAAACATCCTCTATATGATTTTTGGTAAAAAAGGAAGGTTATACACTGCCTTTTTTTGACCCCCGAAACAAAAATTGTCTCAGATCGCCCCGGAAAAAAAATTTCTTCTAGAATGTGGCCCGTAGAATCCATAATTTCAAACAGTTCCAAGATTGGGCTACTAGTTCAAAAGTTACAGCCCTTTGAATTTTCTTTCGAAATTGGTTTCTAGTCTATAACTTTTGATTGAGAAGTCTGATCGAAAAAGTACGAATTGTTTTGGATTCTACGCACCAAAATTAATAAGAAAAAGTGTTTTCCCGAGAAATTTTGGTGCAGTCGATTTTTGGTAAAAAGGAAGGTTATACACTGCCTTTTTTTGAGCCCCGAAAAAAAAATTGTCTCAGATCGACCCGGGAAAAAATTTTTCTTATAGAACGTGGCCTGTAGAATCCATAATTTCAAACAGTTCCAAGATTGGGCTACTAGTTCAAAAGTTACAATTAATAATTGGTTAATCGGCAAGTAGATTTTTAAGTAGAGGGATTCGGATTCCTGGTGCTTCTAAACGTGTATTTCCGTAAAAAAAGTGGGGGGGGGGTGTCATTTTTTACCCCAATGCAATACCCCTCTTACTAACGTCCGGGTTGTAAAAAGAATGTATAACCGACAAATAGGTACCTCCCTTTAATTTCTCAAAAGTGTTCACCACCTGCACGCTAGTAAGGGAAGTATAGTATTGGGTTAAAAAATGACCTTCCCCTCACTTTTTTGACGGAAATACGTGTTTTGAAGCACCAGGAATCCGAATCAAACAAAATCTCATACCCATAGGAATAAAAGGGCAGAATCGCATATGTGCAGGTGGTATGTGTGCTAGCCACATCAAATTTTTAGCGCATTTTATAAGAATTTAAAAAAATGTGCTACTGTTTGCGTTTTGTCTGTCCGCCCGTCCGGTATAGGTAGCCTATATACCTCCAGAAGGCCATCAAATTTCACTGTGTTGGGGGGGCGGGGGCATGAATGATTTCCTAAGATGCTGTTTTTGATAGTAAAACGTGCATAGCTTTGGCATACGATAACCAATTGGTCTCAAATTTGTAAAATCAGGGGGGGCGAGGGGGGGTAATACACGTTCTACCCTTCCTGGTATTCTAATGGAAGGTCTCATCGAAATAAATTGGTGAGTACAAAATATAATTTTCCCGCGCGACTCTTTTTCGAGATCAGTGGGTGACGGGGCCGCATGGGGGGGAGGGGGGGGAGGGACGGTGATTACAAATTAATTTTATCTTTCATGATACTCTAATTAAAAGTCTTAACGAAATGAACCAACTACCGCCCCTTTTCTGACTCATTAAAAGAGGGGGGGATTGGGGGGGGGACTGGTTTTGTCCTTCATGGTACTCTAATGAAAGAGCTTAACGAAAGGAATTAATTTCTACCAACCATAGTCCTCCTCGACCTCTTATCGTGATCTAATACAATCCCTTATATCTCCAGACGGATTGTCAGAAGAGAGTACTCACAAAAGGCAAATGGAACGTCAGGATGAGACATATCTATTGGTGCTGTCAAAGCTTTTGGAAAATATTTTGCTCTAAATAGTTCAATTCATGAAGAAGCTGGAGACGTATACCGGAAGTGAGAGACCTACCTTTAATCAATACACTAGCTCTATCTAATTTTAATTAAATTAATTGAAACGCGCACACTTTAATTAATACTCATATATCATTGTATGGAAAACGAAGTCAAACGATGGCCGTTATAAGATAAACTGTTTAGAAAAATGAACGCTATTCCCACTAGGAAGGGCGGTTACTCAATTTTCCCGAGCGCATTAGTTCACGAGAAATGGCCGTGGAACAACCTAAAGTCAATTGCCAAACGAATCTGAGCTACTACTTCACCGAATATTGCGACAATTCGACGATACACGGATTGAAGTTCATCGGGGAGAGAAAGCGGAGCTTCATTGAGAAGTAGGTGCCCATTCGAAATGGACTATTATCAATTTTTTTTGTAGAGTATGGTGGATTGTTTCCGTAACATTCGCGCTTTACCTGTGCGCCACGATGATTAAGCAAACTTACAAGAAGTGGATCAATTCGCCGGTGATCGTCTCGTTCGCGACGAGCGAGACTCCGATTTGGGAAATCCCTTTTCCGGCCATCACCATTTGCCCTCTGGGGAAAACCGACCTGACCAAGTTTAACTTTAAGGAGATTTCACCTGGCAACTATACCGAGGAGGAGTAAGTCCGATCGAGGCATACCTTCTTTGTAAAGTTGCACCGTTTTCCAGAGCGGAGAACCTGACCTCCCTCGCACTCATCTGTCCCATGGTACTCGAGCTGTTCCCAGCTATTAACGCGACGAGAACGATTCACGACAAGGCCATAGACTTTCTAATCGACGTAAGTCGTTGATTTCACTTATTGCCGTTAAAAGTAAATATTGCAGAGCGTTCCCGATTTTGATTCGTCCGTTAGGGGCTGCCTATGGCGTAATCGCTTTTGCGACAAGGAGTCGAGGAAGCTGTTTAATCCAGTCCTGACAAGTGGGGCGGTTTGCTATTCGTACAACATGTTGGACTGGGGCGATATTTATACGGATGCTACAGAGTGAGTAGCCGAAATGTATCGGCATTTGAGAGTGTTTTTTGCACTTCTAGTTTGGATTACTATGAGCGGTTGGGAATTGAGCACCAGTCAAGATCACATTGGAGTCCCGAAGATGGATACGATGAAAATGTAAAGATCAATATCTATCCCCGCCGAACGTCCATGACGGGGACTAATGGTGGTATGGAGGTTGTACTACAGACCATCGTTAGAGATGCCAATTACAACTGTGGAGATAGTTTGAAAGGATACAAGGTATCTCTAGGGTAAAAGCCATATGTTTCCGCAAAAAAGTGGAGGGTCATTTTTACCCGAATGCAATACCTCCCTTACCAACGTGAAAATGGTAAAAATATACAAATCTGTTCAGGGAAAAAAACTTCCTTGGGTCGACCCCTTCAGGAATGTTAAATTGACTTTGAGGTATTTTGGGGTATTGGGTGGTTAATGGTTTTGTGTTTTTTTCTGGAAGAGTAACTGGGTATTTCCTTCCTGGGGGTTTTCCATACTACTCTATTCCATACCAAAATTCCATCTGTTATAGGTTATGGTACACCATCCTGGGGAAATGCCCCGTTTCCACCAGCACTACTTTTGGGTGCCCCTGGACCAGTTAATTTCTGTATCGATTAAACCGAACATGATAACGACGTACGGCGATTTAAAGTCGTACAAGCCGTGGGATCGTCAGTGTTATTTCGAAGAGGAAAAGCAACTGAAGTACTTCAAAATTTACAACCAACAGAATTGCTTGCTGGAGTGCCTAACTAATATTACGTTCGAAAAGTGCGGTTGCGTCAACTTCCACATGCCACGTAAGTGGTCCTTCTCTATCTCTTTCTTTAGATATGAACACTTAATCTCTCTTATTTTTTTATGTACGTTGACTCAGTTGTATTTGTAGGAACCGATGACATGCCACTTTGCGGACCTGCGTTACTCAACTGCGCCTCATCTGCGAACGGCAAGTTACCCCACAAATACCCTCTCGACGCCTAAACCTCCACGTTACAGATGAGTTTAACAGAAAAAGAAGCAGCCAGAGGAGCCACAGATACCAAGACAAATCCGAAACCTTCACGGACTCCACCGGATGCAATTGCGTACCCGCCTGCTACTCCCTTCGCTACGACGCGGAAACCTCCCAGCTCGACTGGGACTGGAATAACATGCTGGGCGTCAACAAGACCTTCGAAGAGAACCAGACGTATAGCTCGACCGCTCCACCGCGCAATACTCATTTCAACTTTCAGCGTTCACCTTTCGCGCTTGCGCGTTTTCTTCAAGGACATGCAATTTATGACGTCCGAGAGAAACGAGTTGTACGGGCAGACGGAATTCTGGGCGAATTGCGGCGGCCTGGTCGGTTTATTTACAGGGTTCTCACTCATTTCGTTCATTGAGATTGTGTACTTTTGCTCGCTGAGATTCATTTGCAACCTCAAAAGGTACGGGTGGCGTTACTGGTCGGGAGCTGAAGAGTTACTTAACGTCAGGGAGTAATTTTGATGATTATGTTTCTTTTCTTACCTGTACGATTGACAAAGAGGAGCTGAATAAAGAAAAAATTGGTCCACATATCAAAGGTCTTTTGCTGTTAAAAGCTAAAACGCAACATGAATGATGAATTTTTTTTTTAATTTCCTATCAAAAAGGCCCTAAACGTAATAGCTACGCTCTGCAATTGATACACAATTATAAGTAGGCTATGCCCTTTTAGAAAACTCAAAAAAAACGAAAAGTTTCTGTCGGTAAGGTCCTTCAAAATGACCATAAATGTAAATCCAAAATTCCTTCCAAAAAGGCCCTAAACGCAAGAGTTACGAGCTGCAATTGATACACAATTATAAGTAGGCTATGCCCTTATAGAAAAGTCAAAAAAAACGAAAAGTTTCTGTCGGTAAGGTCCTTCAAAATGACCATAAATGTAAATCCAAAATTCCTTCCAAAAAGGCCCTAAACGCAAGAGTTACGCGCTGCAATTGATACACAATTATAAGTAGGCTATGCCCTTATAGAAAAGTAAAAAAAAACGAAAAGTTTCTGTCGGTAAGGTCCTTCAAAATGACCATAAATGTAAATCCAAAATTCCTTCCAAAAAGGCCCTAAACGCAAGAGTTACGCGCTGCAATTGATACACAATTATAAGTAGGCTATGCCCTTTTAGAAAAGTAAAAAAAAAAACGAAAAGTTTCTGTCGGTAAGGTCCTTCAAAATGACCATAAATGTAAATCCAAAATTCCTTCCAAAAAGGCCCTAAACGCAAGAGTTACGCGCTGCAATTGATACACAATTATAAGTAGGCTATGCCCTTATAGAAAAGTCAAAAAAAAACGAAAAGTTTCTGTCGGTAAGGTCCTTCAAAATGACCATAAATGTAAATCCAAAATTCCTTCCAAAAAGGCCCTAAACGGAAGAGTTACGCGCTGCAATTGATACACAATTATAAGTAGGCTATGCCCTTTTAGAAAAGTAAAAAAAAACGAAAAGTTTCCTTCCAAAAAGGCCCTAAACGCAAGAGTTACGCGCTGCAATTGATACACAATTATAAGTAGGCTATGCCCTTTTAGAAAAGTCAAAAAAAACGAAAAGTTTCTGTCGGTAAGGTCCTTCAAAATGACCATAAATGTAAATCCAAAATTCCTTCCAAAAAAGGCCCTAAACGCAAGAGTTACGCGCTGCAATTGATACACAATTATAAGTAGGCTATGCCCTTTTAGAAAAGTAAAAAAAAACGAAAAGTTTCTGTCGGCAAGGTCCTTCAAGATGACCATAAATGTAAATCCAAAATTCTTTCCAAAAAGGCCCTAAACGCAAGAGTTACGCGCTGCAATTGATACACAATTATAAGTAGGCTATGCCCTTTTAGAAAAGTAAAAAAAAACGAAAAGTTTCTGTCGGTAAGGTCCTTCAAAATGACCATAAATGTAAATCCAAAATTCCTTCCAAAAAGGCCCTAAACGCAAGAGTTACGCGCTGCAATTGATACACAATTATAAGTAGGCTATGCCCTTATAGAAAAGTCAAAAAAAACGAAAAGTTTCTGTCGGTAAGGTCCTTCAAAAAGACCATAAATGTAAATCCAAAATTCCTTCCAAAAAGGCCCTAAACGCAAGAGTTACGCGCTGCAATTGATACACAATTATAAGTAGGCTATGCCCTTATAGAAAAGTCAAAAAAAACGAAAAGTTTCTGTCGGTAAGGTCCTTCAAAATGACCATAAATGTAAATCCAAAATTCCTTCCAAAAAGGCCCTAAACGCAAGAGTTACGCGCTGCAATTGATACACAATTATAAGTAGGCTATGCCCTTATAGAAAAGTAAAAAAAAACGAAAAGTTTCTGTCGGTAAGGTCCTTCAAAATGACCATAAATGTAAATCCAAAATTCCTTCCAAAAAGGCCCTAAACGCAAGAGTTACGCGCTGCAATTGATACACAATTATAAGTAGGCTATGCCCTTTTAGAAAAGTAAAAAAAAACGAAAAGTTTCTGTCGGTAAGGTCCTTCAAAATGACCATAAATGTAAATCCAAAATTCCTTCCAAAAAGGCCCTAAACGCAAGAGTTACGCGCTGCAATTGATACACAATTATAAGTAGGCTATGCCCTTATAGAAAAGTAAAAAAAAACGAAAAGTTTCTGTCGGTAAGGTCCTTCAAAATGACCATAAATGTAAATCCAAAATTCCTTCCGAAAAGGCCCTAAACGCAAGAGTTACGCGCTGCAATTGATACACAATTATAAGTAGGCTATGCCCTTATAGAAAAGTCAAAAAAAACGAAAAGTTTCTGTCGGTAAGGTCCTTCAAAATGACCATAAATGTAAATCCAAAATGCCATCCAAAAAGGCCCTAAACGCAAGAGTTACGCGCTGCAATTGATACACAATTATAAGTAGGCTATGCCCTTATAGAAAAGTCAAAAAAAACGAAAAGTTTCTGTCGGTAAGGTCCTTCAAAAAGACCATAAATGTAAATCCAAAATTCCTTCCAAAAAGGCCCTAAACGCAAGAGTTACGCGCTGCAATTGATACACAATTATAAGTAGGCTATGCCCTTATAGAAAAGTCAAAAAAAACGAAAAGTTTCTGTCGGTAAGGACCTTCAAAATGACCATAAATGTAAATCCAAAATTCCTTCCAAAAAGGCCCTAAACGCAAGAGTTACGCGCTGCAATTGATACACAATTATAAGTAGGCTATGCCCTTTTAGAAAAGTAAAAAAAAAACGAAAAGTTTCTGTCGGCAAGGTCCTTCAAAATGACCATAAATGTAAATCCAAAATTCCTTCCAAAAAGGCCCTAAACTCAAGAGTTACGCGCTGCAATTGATACACAATTATAAGTAGGCTATGCCCTTTTAGAAAAGTCAAAAAAAACGAAAAGTTTCTGTCGGTAAGGTCCTTCAAAATGACCATAAATGTAAATCCAAAATTCCTTTCAAAAAGGCCCTAAACGCAAGAGTTACGCGCTGCAATTAATACACAATTATAAGTAGGCTATGCCCTTTTAGAAAAGTAAAAAAAAACGAAAAGTTTCTGTCGGCAAGGTCCTTCAAGATGACCATAAATGTAAATCCAAAATTCTTTCCAAAAAGGCCCTAAACGCAAGAGTTACGCGCTGCAATTGATACACAATTATAAGTAGGCTATGCCCTTTTAGAAAAGTAAAAAAAAACGAAAAGTTTCTGTCGGTAAGGTCCTTCAAAATGACCATAAATGTAAATCCAAAATTCTTTCCAAAAAGGCCCTAAACGCAAGAGTTACGCGCTGCAATTGATACACAATTATAAGTAGGCCATGCCCTTATAGAAAAGAAAAAAAAAAACGAAAAGTTTCTGTCGGTAAGGTCCTTCAAAATGACCATAAAGGTAAATCCAAAATTCCTTCCAAAAAGGCCCTAAACGCAAGAGTTACGCGCTGCAATTGATACACAATTATAAATAGGCTATGCCCTTTTAGAAAAGAAAAAAAAAAACGAAAAGTTTCTGTCGGTAAGGTCCTTCAAAATGACCATAACCATATTTTGTTAAGTATTTTTTCGCATAGAGGTGTAGTGAAGTTAGCAGCCAAATTTCTACTCAAAATAGGGTGAGACTCTCAGGATAGTGGCCAGTGCTTTGCCTAACCCTGTTTTGCCTCATATTAAATCTGCTGCTAGCTTCACTATAGGGCATTGATTATACATACACCGTCTTGAAACAGGTACGTACGTCGTTGACTAAATTTCAGTTACACTTATCATACAGTTATGATTCATCAATGTTTACTTTTTAGAAAAAGGACCTGTTGATGGTTAATTTGAAGTGAAAAGGAAATAAAGAGAGATTGTGGAAGAAGTGCAGCAATGGATGAAAGAATTGTTATGCGAATCCTGGTAACTGGTGTGGGCCCCCCCATGCCTCACATTGTGATATGTTTATGAGTGTATCCCGTTACTTGGTTCTCTTACGATTCGATTTTCATTTGTCAGTACCGTAGGAGATTCACGATGTTTGCGGTTCCCGTTCCCTGCCAGCAAGCCGAGTAAAGGCTTAGAATTGGCAAGATTCGTTCGTGTTCTGGGATTAGAGGTGCCCGGGGAAGGTTCCGTCAAACTTGAATGGACTCCAAAGAGACAAATTGACGCATTAGAAGTGTTTGTAAAACTGAGAAACGTAGGTCTAGGGCACGGCGAATGAAATTTTAACGAAACGAAGTAATACCGAATTGATAGTGTCTCGACCGTAAGTACCAGGATTTCAATGTAAATGTCATAATCGTAGCGCAGTGTTCTGCGAGTCTGTGATCATCCCACTGTATTAACACGTTGGCCCCCACATGTACAGCCGGCTGTCGTAGTTGATACTATTTTGGCACACCAATTATGCACCAGCGAAACAGCCGGGTTGCCGTAGGAGATAGTATTTCAGCACACTGGCGTAACCGTTTAACACAAGTGGGACAGCGGGCTGACATGCGATAACCAACGCACACAAGACCGCTCTGGTGGCGGTTTAACGTATTAAAAGACAATGTGACCTACTTCATCGGATTAATGTGAAGATGGGTAGCAAAATATTAAGAGTGCGGTTATCGTACAGTACCTACGTCAAGAAAGTTTTCCTTCGTTACTGTTCAGCCTCACGTCTTGTGGCTGCCGAATGAATTGTGTCCCGATCATTTATACCGAAATGAAATATACCGAGAATACTTTGACCGGATTGTTATCGTCGATACTAGCGACGTCGTATCTTAAGGGTAGCGCAAGCATTATCGTACCCGTTACCATGCAACTTTTAGAGGTCTACAGACTCACCCCAAATCAACATATCCATGAAATCCTAGGGGTCTTGATTCCAAAACACGAAATAGGTGCACCACAAACGTTAAGTTTTAAATACAAACGAATTTAAAATCGGAAGCCATTTTCGATTTAATCTGAAAATCTCTAACAACACAGACACTACCGATTTGCGAGCACTTCCCCGACGGTTTTTATTAATTTAAGGGTTGAATTTAACCACAAAATTACATTTTACGCGATTCCAACACGTAAACGGCGATTTAAAT